TATTGGAGTATGGGTTATGGTCGGTTAAGTTCGGTTGACATTTGGTTTAGTAAATACAGAATATTCCAAAGAGATATGCATAGTTGAAGATTGCGTCTTCTTCGTAACAGAGGCTCCGTAACAGAGGCATCATTGTTATAGATATTCCTAGATTTGAGATTCTTGTTGTACGACTGATATATATGTACGCTTGTTTGTTGATAATAAAGATCATCGAATTCTCAGCTTCTGCTTCTCTCTTTATTATGAATGACCAACTAAGTAAATTAGGTTCATCGATATAGTCCAAGTCCTCGAAACATGTGTTGTTTGATAACCATCCTCATAATCTGAACACCAGTGTTCAGATTTTTAGCGTGTATGTAGTGAATCATCAAACAAGTACTACTACATAAGACCATTGGTGATTTACTGCAAACAGTTTCATAATCATAACATTGCTGTTCAGATTCAGTGGATGGTGGTCAAACAACACATGCTTTGTGGACTTTCATAATCACGGTTTTATAGTGTCTATGTAAAACCAGACGATCATCTATTTTTTGTTCTCTTCTATTTTGATGGTTTAGTCAAAATTTATTATATACGCACATAGTACAATTTATTTCTCCATTTGTGATCAATCAATACATTTTTTAACCGAGCAAACACAAGTTCCGTAACAGAGCTCTTAACCTTCAATCTTGCAATGGTATTGGAACTTATCGACACAAACTCAAAAGAGCGACTAGCAAAATATTGTGGTAGAAGACTCCAAAGTCTCACCACCAAGGTACGAGATTAGGATTTTGTTTCTTTTTTGGTCTAACAACAAAATGAATATATATTTTTTTTTATTTCTAAAGATATAGAAAGACATATTGGACAAGAAATTATTTTCAATTTTCCCTAGATTTATTTGGATACCTAGTAAATTTTAGGAAAATTTCAAAGGATTTCAGACATTTGAACGACTTGGATAAATTTTCAAGAATTCTCGTAACAAATCTAATGGGCGATTCTTAGATATTTTATTTTAAGAGAATAGGATTCTAATGGGCGATACTTGGATAAATTTTGAAGAATTCTCGTAACGTATCTCTTTTTGTCTTTGCTGTCTAATACAATTGGTCGTGAAAGAAAGCTGAGTATGCAGGTATAGTTGGCACCCAATTTCTGATGTATTAGTTGAATGAGAAACTAGTGATGATGGCTTTTAAGCATGGGATGTTTACTTCTCAAATTTGATAAAACAAGCATAACATAAGATTTTTGTTTTGTTTAGTGGCTAATAGAGGTTTAGCTAGCATAAGAAGCTCAAAACGTCAACAATGAGGCCACAAGTAATCTGGTTGCTTTGGCCAGAATATAATTAACCACATATATATTATGCGCAGAAATACATTAAACAGAAAGAAGACCAAATTTATTATATGATCGATTAAAATAAATATAACACAATTCGAAGTAACTTTGGTAAATTGCCAAATTGCTAGACTAGACTACATGTAAGCTAGAAATTCGAAAAACAGAGACAATATATTGGAAGAAAAAAGTTGGTACTAAACCAGCGGATAAAGACTGAGCTTGATGCAATGAGGTTAAGGAGACATTTACATGATTTATGTTGCATGTTTCTTTTATCTCCCATATCCCATAATAATTAGGGATATAATTTAATAGAGAGGACGTGTAGACATATACAACCTCAACTAGATGTATTATGTATTATGATAGCGTGTTGTTCATAGGTGTCGACAAGAGGTGCTAGTCTTTGGGGTAGAGTATTGTTTTCCTTTTCCATCTTACAATCGCTTAGCCAACGTTTGATCCATTGCGGAGGGAGTAAACCTTCAAAGATGGCTATCAGTTGTCATAACAAAAACATGAGATTATTTTACATTATTACTTTTACATTGAAGAAAGAAAAAAATGGAAAATTAGAGATATAACTTACGTAATAATATCTCTGCGGATTCCATGCAGATACGACCACAAGAGGCTCTATGAACGAAATAGTATCTCCAAATCCGTAGATGAAAAAGTTTCCCTTCTTGCGATAAGTATAATACAGATATAAAAATCGCCTACAAAAATCAATGTCAATAACTTTAAAAATTAACTTTAAGAACTTCCATTGAATCTATGTTCAAAGGCAAGCAAGAATTTTGCATTGAAATTGTTTAATTGCATGGTCACAAACTTTAACAATCTCATTCTATAAGTTGTGTGGATCTTCTTTAACATATTATTTTACATTATCATAGTTTTTGGAGATGAATAAAAAAACAAATATCTATGTTTCGAAACTAAGCAACAATTATGCGTTTTTTTGGGAAAAATTGTGCGGTTTTTTGGGAAACAGATTGTGTTTTATATACTTTTTGGGAAAATATCTATGTTTCATATCAAACAACATAACAACATGGTATGTGTGTAGTGACTCTTGTTTTCTTGTTTTGTCGTAGGAACCAGGTTTGAATAAAAGTTTATAACTTTTGATCTCTAAACTCTACGACACAACATAAATTCGAAAAATTAGAAACTACATCACA